TTAAGGTGAAGGGGTGAAGGTGATTTAACAGGGATGTCATGGGGATTAAAGGAGCGCACACAGTGTTGCATTAATGCATTCCCCCCCATTCACACAGAGAAGTCGGGAATCGCGATGTGTGTGGGCTGTGGAAGTCAGATACACGACCAGTACATCCTGAGAGTCTCCCCGGACCTGGAGTGGCATGCAGCCTGCCTCAAGTGTGCAGAGTGCAGCCAGTACCTGGACGAGACCTGCACTTGCTTCGTCCGAGACGGAAAGACTTACTGTAAAAGAGATTATGCAAGGTAAAGAGAGTTCAGCAGAGTTTGCAGAATACTTTTCTAAAAATGTAAGAGGCCATGTGCTTGGCTGTTGAAAAGAAAGTGGCGGCTATAAAAGAGAGCAACTGAGATGAAATAATAGTCCCATAAAGATATTGTCCATTTCAGTGGTAAATGTGCAAGGGTTTACACTGAATCAGATTTGTGTAGCAGGCTTTAAGTTGTTTTTATTATTTCCCCCTGTGATCATTAGCCTATATCAGTTCACAGCTTTTTATTGTGCTTCTTTTGATTGGAACATGGACCGAGATCAACATCAGTTTAGTTCACTTTTTAGGGCCGCTGCATGAGACCAACACGTCTCCGTGCTCCTTTTCAGGTTATTTGGCATCAAATGTGCAAAGTGTAACATGGGCTTCTGCAGCAGCGACCTGGTGATGAGAGCCCGGGACAACGTGTATCACATGGAGTGTTTTCGGTGCTCGGTTTGCAGCCGACACCTCCTGCCTGGGGACGAGTTCTCCCTGCGGGACGACGAGCTGCTGTGTCGGGCGGATCACGGCTTGCTGGTGGAGCGGGCGTCTGCGGGGAGCCCGCTCAGCCCGGGGAACATTCATACCAGACCGCTGCACATCTCAGGTAGGCAAACTGGCTTATTATGGACCGATAAAAACTTAAATCTAACACAGGACACTAGAAAATGTTGTTATTATTATTATTACTATTATTATTTTTTTTTTAATTATTATTATTATTATTATAAGCATGCATATTTTTGATGCAAAAGTTTTATTTCTTAAGCTAAATTTAATGCTGTTTTCGACTGGAAAGATTTATATTTTGTGTGCATAGAGGCCAAAATGAAAAGGTGTTACTGTTTTATTCTATAACACTGGAAAACGTCTGGAAAGTGTATTGACCTTTCCAGTATTTGGTAGCCAAATTTTTGTAGCTTAATATTTCCATAAAGTGCAGACGGTGATCATAAATCCATAATTGTAGCTTTAATTTCTTAATCTAAGCTGCTACCATGTCTTATAGACGTTTAAACATGTATTTCTTCCTTTATTTTTGAATAACTGATCTGCAGTTTCTAATTTATTTTTATAACTTTTTTCCTCAGACACGGTTTCGGTCCGGCATCCTCCTCATCACCGGAACCACGTCCACAAGCAGTCCGAGAAGACCACTCGGGTCCGGACGGTGCTGAACGAAAAGCAGCTCCACACCCTGCGGACCTGCTACAACGCCAACCCGCGACCGGACGCGCTGATGAAGGAGCAGCTGGTGGAGATGACCGGCCTGAGCCCCAGGGTGATCCGGGTCTGGTTCCAGAACAAGCGCTGCAAAGACAAGAAGAGATCCATCCTGATGAAGCAGCTCCAACAACAGCAACACAGCGACAAAACTGTGAGTTGTTTTTTATAGATACATGGCATGCGTGGAAAAAAAATATGCAGTCTTTTTCCATTTGACAAGTCCAATGTGTCTTGGGATTATTGGGCATATTTTCTGCCCCACAAAATATGTGATTCATAATATGGAAAACTCTGCAAAGGTCTGTGTGAATGATCAGGTAACCAAATGATGTTCATGCGCAATGCCTTTACTCGATAAAATAAAGAAAGAAATGGCCTAATAACATTAAATAGAGCAACATAAAATATTTATATGGCTGATAACATGAGATAAACAACAATTAGGCTACACTGATCATTTTGAATAAACAGAAAAGAAAAATAACAATACGCAACAGTAACAATAATCTAATAATCAACTACTTTGTGTTTCATTTTGTACAGATTATTTTCATAAATCTGACAATAATTCTAAATTAAATTAGAGTATTGAATTATTTCTGAATGCAATTACCCAACTATTACAGAATTAGTGTTAGGCTATTTTACAGGTTCATAGACCTTCGTTTATTGTGCATTTTTTACAGATCAGTTGTGAGTTAATGGTCATAAATATTTTTTAGTTTGTTGTCGTGCAAAATTGGTTCCCACATAATGACCAAAAATGCCTTGTTTTTTATTTTTTCTGTGCATCACTCACCTTGTATGGAGTCATGTAGTTAAATAGCAATCCTGGAGGGACTTCACCCTATCACTGGCCAATATTTGAGCGAAATATGAATGTTTTTCGTTCCTCCTGCAGAATCTGCAGGGCCTGACAGGCACAGCTCTGGTGGCAGGCTCTCCTATCCGGCACGACAACACCGTGCAAGGGAATCCTGTGGAGGTGCAAACCTACCAGCCACCGTGGAAAACCCTCAGCGACTTCGCCCTGCAGAGCGACCTGGACCAGCCCGCCTTCCAACAGCTGGTAGGATTACGTTGAATCAATTATATTTAAAAAAAGAAATGATAGGCTATCAAAAATAGCAAGATTGGGCTGGCAGGCTTGCATTCACAGAGAGAGAGAGAGAAAGGAAA